CAAACATTGTTGAAAGGACAGATCTGAAGAAGTCCACTTCTTCAGTGAGGAAGCCCACTTTTTTCTTTATTATTGGACCTATTCATATTTTCTTCTAGTTTCAATTAAAAAAAATGTAACTTAGTTATTTTGAACATATCATTTAATTACTCTAGTACATAGTTTTCTCATTTGTAAAAACAAAAAACTGCTGCCCTTCTCATTTTACTGGGTTGAGGACCAAATATGATTTTAATTTATATGAAGCATTGTAATTGTAATTTTTTTTTTTTTTTTGAGGTATTTGGTTGTTACAGGATTTCATTATACAGCTCGGACTCATGGTGATCCTCCTGCTCTCAGCCTCCTCAGCACTTGGACTGTAGGTATGCACCACTATGCCCAGATTCTGTGGCTGGCTCAGATTGCCCTGTGGGCAGAGCTGGCGCAGCATATGGTGATGGGGATCAAACACAGTCCCTGTGCTTGCCTAAGCAGGTGCTTTAGTCCACTGAGCTATCTAGTCGGCCCATAACTTTAATTTAAAAAGAAAATCTTTTATTTGGTAGAGTCTCGCTATGCAGCTGACTCAGTGGTCCTCCAGTTTCAGCCTCCTCCGCACTGGGATTACAGGCATGTGCCATCATGCCTGGTTTTGGTGGCCAGCTCGGCACGGACTGGTACAGCACTTGGTACTGGGGATCAAACCTGGGTCCTTGTACTGGCCAGGCAGGTGCTTAGACTGCCAAGCTATCTCCCGGGCCCCATTTCAATTTGTATCTATTATCTTACAGAATGCTCAGCTACTTTTTTTCATTTCACTACTGCTCCAATCTGTGTCACCTAGCCTCCTTTCACTTATCTTGGCTTACTGTTACTTTGATTTATAATCGTTGATGTCCACAAAGAGTTGTCTGATGACTGCTAGAAGATAGAAAATTGTTATTGTTATGGGATGTACACAATTAGGGACACAAAGCACAAGGTCCCAGGGTAACCTTAAGCATTGGATAAAGAATGCAAGATACACCAGGAAAGGTAAATAATGCGAGAAAGAAGGTTGGGGTAGAACAGGGTATCTGAATCTTGGTACTTCTATTTTAGTTTTGTGGACTTTGGGTAAGTTAGCAAACATTTCTGCTCCACGGTTTCCTCATGTGAAAAATAGAGATAACAGGACTTACTTTGTAAGACTGTTATACATTTAAATAATGACTATGAAACATTTAAGAACAGTGCCTGGCACACTGTAACCACCTACTAAGTGATAACTGGAATTATAGCTAATAAGTGATTGACAGCAGGTGAGATGAAGTTCAGAGAAAACAGAGAATTTCAGTGATTATATATATTTTTAAAAATAACTGTTCCAGTCTTCAGGTCTTATTATTAGACTGTGAACTTTTTCCTAAAATTTCCTCCTTTTAGTCTTTAATTTTTTTTTAAATTTTATTTTAAACAGCATCAGTTCAAAATATTTGAAGGTAAGCCAGGTGTGGTGGTGCACTCCTTTAATCCCACCACTGGAGAGGCTGAGGTAGGAGAACTGTTACCGGTTTCAGACCAGCCTGGGCTACAAAGCTCAAGGCCAGCCTGAACAGCATAGTGAGAGACACACACACACCAAAAAAAAAAAAAAAAAAAAAAAAAAAAATTGAATGCAGAAGTAGCATAGCTAATCATAATCTTTAGGTAGTCTATTTTCCTACTTTTACTACATAAAAACAGTACTTTCAGTTGATATAATGTAAACATCTGTTACTTTCCTGCTGGCATAACTTTAAGTGGGAATGGAAAGTTAAAAAGTAGGGAGGATTTAAAGTTTTTCCTTACACTATTTTAGGAATAGCAGCAAAGGTCATTTATAATATCATCTAGGGGCACCATTTAGGTGAGAAAGTTGCCAAGTAAAGAGTTATCTATTAACATTCTTTATCCTTTTGGATTACAAAATTTATGCTTAGGTTTGAGACTAACAATTGACAGGCTGTTGGCCCCATCTATCCCGATATGCTTTTACTTAGATTCGTAGGGTTTTGGAATATTAGTTGCCAATATTTAAAAATTTAAGAGATCTCACACACTACAATCCAATTTTAGAGTTTCTCTAGGGAGGAGAAAATAGAATACCTTCTAATACCAGGACTACATTCTTGATGGAAGCCAACTGCAAGGACGGTGCAATTATCCCCTTTCCTAAAGGAATGAACATTCCAACTATCTATATTCCTTATCAGTGTCCATTATCCCAACTCACTCATTTACCAGTCTCACTTGCTTTATTTGTCTGGCTTTTGAAGATGTCTGACCCTCTCTAGACCTTTCCTCTCGCCAATCAAAACGTACTTTGTTCGGTCCCAAGTCCTTTATTAGTTTTTCAAAGCAAGAGCTAGGTAATCCGATAAAAGTACATGTAGTTTTACACGTGCTTTCTGAAGACAGTATGTTAGCCGAAAAGGCACACTGCAGGTGCAAATTACAAGCACCGGTGGATTACCACCGGGATGGCAAATGTCCATTCTATTCTCTAGTCGGCCATAGACAAGCCTCACCGATCTCCGGGGAACCGAAGGAACTGGTGCTTGGATAGAACAATGGACACTAGCTTACATGAGAAAACTACTCAACACTTTTACAGACCAGCCTTGTTCTACAAGGGCTCTGGGGCTACCACGGGCCGTTCAACTTCCCCGCATCCTCGGAAATGCAGGATATCCGGGATGACGGAATTCTCCCTCACCTGCTCTCAGAGCCCGTCTAGTGCTGGCCAGCAGGGGCCAAAGAGCGCGCGCATCCAGCATGAGCTCATCTTTCAGGGGCGTTTCCAAGGGCCGGGCCTGGCGGCGCGGGAGGTGCTGGGGACTTCGCAGTGAGGGGCCCCGGGGCTGGGCGGGGCGCGGCTCGGCCCTTCTCGAAGCTTTGTTCTCACTTCTACTCTGATAGCTCCTACTCAGGCTGGCGGCTTCTGGGTCCGTCCAGCCTCGAGAAAACGTCCTCGCGCGGCGGGGAGCCTAGGATACGCAGAGCAAGCCGCTCCTGGCCGCGAGCCCCCAGAGGATGGGGAGAGCCCACTCCTCGCTCGAGGGCCCCAAGCCCAGCCCCGCCGACCGCAGCAGTTTCGGACCGGCAGTGCAGAGCCAGCGTGCCCCGTCTGCGGTTTCCGTGCTGGCTGGGAGGGAGCAGCCGCAGACGAGCCCATCAGGTCGGCCGTACGACCAGGATCGAGCTTCTTCGGCTCCTGGGACCGCCGGCGGCGGCTGGACCAATCGTACTGCAGCTAGGTCTTGCGATTGCACAGCAGTGAGTGCCGATTGGCTGCCGCCTCGGGTTTCGGCTTCCCTCCTTTTCCTTTCTGCCCCCACTCCAGCTCCAAAGCTGCAGACCAATGAGACGGCCCCTTATAGACGTCCTCTCTTTGCTTTCTTCTCCTCCCCTCCTCGGCAAGAGAGGAGACACTCTGACTGGTCAGATGGCCTCGGAAGCCCTCTTCCCCTTACCAATCACCGGGAGAGGTACACTCCCAGCGGAGTTTTCTAGCCAATTAGGAAACGGCCACGGCACCTAGCCTTGCAGTTTCACCCGCGGCTCGGAGTTTCGCTGTCCTTAACTCCAGCTTTTTCCGGAGAGTCCACAACTCTGATTGGTCACGGTTGCTAGAGTCGAATTTCTCCAGCCGTCCACAGAATAAGGAGAATCCACCTTTCTTCGGCTCGGCTACCTTCGGCACTTTCCGCTCCCTGGGCGTGGCTTCTGGAGGCTACTTTTTAATTGGTTCCTCAGGTCGATCGGGTTTTTCCGGCGAGAGCCGCAAACAAACGACTTCGGTGATTGGCTCCGCTTTGGATTTCGGCCTCCCTGCCGAAGCAAGGGGGCGCGGGTTCGGCCTGCGATTCCCAGACGCCTTTTACGCGGGCGGCAGGGCGCTGGGCGGTGTAAGGCTGGGTGGGGGAGGAAGGAGGCGGAGGACAAGTAGGAAGGGGGAGGGGGGAAGAAGCGCTAGGCGGCTGCGCAGACGGCGCTCTTCACACAGAGCAGCCCCCGACCCGGGTGAATGCGGGCTTGTGCCGCCGCTGTCGCCGCCCGGGCCGAGTGACAAAGGAAGGAAAGAAGCGAGAAGGAGCCGACCTCGCCGTCGCTGACAGGGCTCCGGGCCGAGGGCAAAGCCCGGACATTTCCTGAGCGGGCACCGAGCAGGGCTAGGGGCGGAGGGCGGCCGCGCCGGTGCCGCGGACGGGGGAGGGGGCCCCAAGGACGGAAGCGGTTGCTGGGTTCCCATGTCCCCGGCGTATGGGGAGCAGTCGAGGAGCCGCTGCCTGGGGTCTGAAGGGAGCTGCCTCCGCCGCCGCCGCCATGGCCGCTGGATCCAGCCGCCGCCTGCAGCTGCTCCTGGCGCAATGAGAGGAGCCGCCGCCGCCCGCCGCTGACCGACTCGACTCCGCCGCCCTCCCGGTCGCCGGGTCCCCGCCGTCTGCCACCCGTCCACCGGATCCGGTCGCTCCCGGAGTCGCAGCGTTTCGCGTCGCATCTCCGAGCCGCCACCTCCCGCCCTCCCTCCTTCCCATCCCCCTTCTCTTCGAGCGTGAGACTCGTGATCCTTCCGCCGCTTTCCTTCTTCATTGACTCGGAAAAAAATCCCTGAGGAAAATATAATAATCTAAGTACCTATTTTTCAATCAAGTTATCTGCCGCCGTTTCACGTGAAATATATATATATATA